TGGCGTAGTAGTTGCTGTTGACCATGAGCGGACTGCGGCCGCGCAGGTAGATGTACTCCTCCCACCAGTCGCTGACCTGCGGGAATGGGGACAGGGATGGGGACAGGAAAGAGGGAGAGCGAAAGGGACAGGGAGAGGGTAAAGAGACAGGGAGAAGGGACAGAGGCAAGGACAGGTGACAGGGAGAGGGGACAGGGAACAGGGAACAGGGAAAGGGGACAGAGGACAGGGATGGAGATGGGGACAGGAAGAGGGGACAGGGATAGGAAAAGGGACAGAGGTAGGGAGAGGGACTGGGATGGGGTCAGGGAGATGGGACATGGGATAAAAGACAAGGAAAATGAGAGGGCACAGGGAAAAGGAGAGGGGACAGGGGACAGGAACAGGGTCAGGGATGGAGATAGGGAACAGGGACAGGAAACAGGGAGATGGGACAGGGCATAGGGACAGGAGACAGCAATGACAGCAGACAGGGCCAAGGGACAGGAATGGGGACAGGGAGAGGGGACAGACAGGCAACCAGGACAAGGACCGGTGAAAGGGAGAGGAATCAGGGACAGGGAAAGGGAGAGAGGACAGGGACAGGAAGCACAAACACACCATGATGACAAGGACATGGTACAGCATCCCCTGCCCCAATCAGGAACCCCTAAATCCCTCCTCATGCTGCTGGGGGACACACCAGGTCCCTGGTCACCATCCCAAAGTCCGAGGAGGACTGTGGCGTTGGTCCTGTCCCCTCGGGGACAACTCACATAGTTGGTGGTCCACCAGGACTTGAGGCGCAGGTATCGCTGGAGCCGCGGGGCTGTCTTCTCCTGGAATTCCTTGGCCAACGCTGCCATCTCCAGGTACTTGTCGTCATTCAGCAGTGGCCGCACCGACTCCAGGTACTGCGGGAGGGGACACGGGTGACACCCCTGGTGCTGTCACGCCATGAGGGACCCCCCAAGACCCCAGGGGAATGGGGTACCCGGGTGATGGTGGCTTCCACGGGGGGCACAGGGAGTTTGGGGAGGGAGCTCTGGAAGCTGTAGAGGAGAGGCTTGCGGAAGGACACGATCTTCATCAGCACCTGGGGGAGGAGGAGGAGGGATGGGGTGAGCATCTATGGAGCCCACAGCACCCACAGCTTCCAAAGCATCCATGGATCCCACATCACCAACAGCACCGACAAAACCCACAGCTCCCCCTGCACCCACTGTTCCCACAGCTCCCTTGGATCTCACATTCCCCATAGCTCCCACGGATCCCATGCTCCCCACAGCCCCCAGAGGTGGCAGGAGCGGG